GCTAATTTATTACTATCTTAGCAGATGACACTTCTTAATATAATGTCTATCCATCCATCCATCCATCTTTGAATACAGTAGATGATCATAACCCAATTGGCAAAACTGAAGGACGTCTAATCAATAATACTGCCTGGGACTGTGTAATGCAAATAGGAATTTATTAATCAAATTGTTCAGATTTGCCAATACATTCTACAACTCCAACAAATATTTAAACTTTGTTTTTTATTATCTAGGTTCATACTTTTTAAATCATGTCCTGCTTTTATGCATTAATTATTTTGGAAAGTTTGAGATGGAATATGATATTTCAAGTTTGTTAAATAAGTTGTTTTTAACCTGCAGTAAAGAGTACACCCATTTCTCATGTTCCACATTTCTCACTGCCTCTCTGGTGGTTTTCTCCAGTATGAACAGTTTGAAAGTACGATTGGTTTCAAGCTTCCTCACCACAGAGCTGCCAAGAGGCTGTGGAAAGTCTGTATTGAACATCATACTTTCTTCCGGTAAGATTCAATCTTTGGCCATTGTTGAAATGTTCTTCATTGTTAAAGAATATCACAGCCTTCAATGTGTACTTCAGTAGCCTTTTCGTGAGAGATCCATAAATCGGAAATTTCATGGTGGATTCCGATCAAGGCCAACAGGGCAGAAATATATTCTCATAACAAATAATTATGAAAAAACTGCTACTGCACTGAAAAAACTGCACTCAATCACAGGTTCTCTCTTCAGTTCAACGACTTTTTAAAATGCAGCAGGCTTCTAACGTAGCACACAACAATTTGAAACAGTAACTATGTTTAAAATAAATGTTGTTTTTAATGTCCAAAGATTTGCTCTTCTTACTGACTTGCAGTGGCTCTACCAATAAATAAACTTGTTGCTACATAGTTAGCTAAAATAGCTAGCTTTCAGCTTTCTTGTTTCACTGAGTTACTACTTCTGTTTAGAATGTATAGTATTCTTTAAGGAACATTGGTATGAGGAGTAAATCGATACTTGTGTCCACAGATTGGTATCTCCAGAGCCTCCGCCCAAGGGCTTCTTAGTGATGGGTTCAAAGTTTCGATACAGTGGGAGGACACAAGCCCAAACCAGACAGGCCAGCCAGCTCATTGACCGGCCTGCTCCACATTTTGAGCGTTCTACTAGCAAGAGGTACCTGCTGTCCAGAAGCTTGGACGGAGGTAAGAACTGTAAAACCTAACTTGTCAGTGAACAATTGTGTCTGTTTCAACGTATACAAGACACAAAGAAACATTTTTTCTTATAGTGATTGACGAAAAAAATCATGGAGTTATTGACAACAAAGTCTTGCAACTTTCGTACTGAATCCATACCTTAAATGATCATTCACCTCTTTTCATCATCAGAGTTTTCACGGCCGGTCTCGTCCATGTGTGAGAACCAGGATGGCCTGTACCATCGCAGCATCAGTGAGCAGCGTCGTCTCCACAGCCCTTCTGTGGATGAGCAAGAGACCGAGCTGGAGCCCAGTGTAGAGCAAGAGGAGGAGGAGGGCCAGGAAAAAGAGCAGGAGGAGGACGAAGATGGGAATATCTCACCAAGTCGGAAAAAAGAGATAATGGTAAAAAAAGCAAAAAACCCAAACATTTGCTGTGAATCTCAACTGACATGATGATTTCCTCCAAAAAGGTCAAATCGATCTTGTGAGGCTAATGTGAGGCTAAAAAAAGAGTAATATCTTTTAGAGCAAAAGAGAAGAAAAGCAGTTGAACACTGTGCTCCTTTAACACAGACATAGTGGTATTACATTATAAATATACTATTGTAGTATTTGCCATATTTTGTTAAAAAATAATAATATATTTAAAGATGAATAGCTTTGCTTGTTTGCTTGTTTGCTAACAGCAAAATAATGAATTGGACTCACTTTTAGGACTTTTTTTATCAATTGGCCCAAAGTGAGCTGTGTTAATCACTGTGATTGGAGATCAATGACACTGTTTTTTTTTGACAACAGTAATTCTTTCATCTATATTTAGTTTTTGTGACAGTTTTTACCAGTGAAATGCTTTTGTAACGTTACATGACTCGTATCTAATTTGTTGTGTGAAGGCCTTTAATATAAGATGCTGAAGTCACTTTGAACACATCTCTCTGACTACCGTCTGCAGATGTGGTAGTACAATCTCCTCAGGGCAGCTGAAGCTTATCCAAAAAGGCCAAAATGCTGTGGTGGCTTTTGGTGGATTCAGTATTTACTAACACCCTTCTTTTTCATTTCTATTCACTCGGGCCAATATGCTTAGACAGCACGGCAGCTAACTTTTTAACCCTTTTCTCATTTTGCTGAGCGATGCAAACTCCTGCAGCTTAGGCATTTGGTTGCTAACTTGCTTCTCCTTCACATCCTACCTGGTGCTGGCGATTAGGAGGAGGTTGGGTCTCCAGTTGACAGTAAACAGGAGGTATTTTGTGTCTGCTGATTCGGTCTTTGTTTATCTATCTCTGTCTTTATGATAACCATCCAGTCATTCACAGTAATTGTAATTGTTCAGTTCAAGAGTGTCCAAACTTAACCCAGGGCCAGCCTGTGGCACTGGTACATATCAACATGATTCTAAATTTTTACAGATTTTTTTTGCTATTTTGTTGAACATTACCCTTTTTTGCCCTGTTCTGTATTTTACTGTGTGACTGATTTTTGATAATTTGATGACTTTATCTGCACTAAGTCTGAGTGTTTAAGGCACAATGCAAAACGTATAGTTTTTTCACAAGTCACATTAGTATAACTTTTGCTAACAGAAATTTAATTAGCTACATATCTTTCATATTTGGCTTCATCCAAACATTTCATAGAAATGCTTTTGTTAAGTACTATTTTAAAAAAAGAAAAGAGCAGTGCACCTTTTTGCCATTATCTCCTGAATGCTTGAGGGAGCATCAAGTTCTTTTTCAATCACTTCCACTACTAAAAAAAAGTTTGGACACCCCTGGTCTAGTTTACTCTCTGTCTGTCTCTCTGCCTGTCCTCCACTGTTTTGTTTACTGTTGCTGTCAACTCAGCTATCACCAAAAGGGCTGTGCTGCATTGCACCACACAAAAAAGTGATACTGCAATGTTTGTGTCTGGTCTTATTTGTCACAATCCATCATCCCAGCATCCATTTGGCTGACCATAATGCCTTGAGCTGACACTTGAGCTCTGATAAAAGAAGAAAAAAAAAAACGCTCCCTAAAACCTTAAACAATGATGAAATAAACTCTGCTCCAAATGTCTCCTGGGATGAATTTCCTCGATTGTCATGGCATGATACAAATGGCTGAACACAGTCTGCCTTCCTCAATGACTCTGCACTTGTGTTTTACCATCCTGTCTCCTCACATGACCACGCACACCTTAAGAAAAAGTAAAAAAACCTTCTGACCCTGATTATTAGTATATTCACTTCATTTTTTGCTAAAGGTGGCAAACTATTTGACATAACGTTGCAGTGCTGTCAGAAAAAGGAAAATATATATACACAAATTTGCTACTTACCAAATACTCCAAATTAACTCATACACACAAAAGTTTACCACAGAGTAAAGTGTCCACTTTTTTTAAATGACAGTTTTGTTAATGTTTGGTTGTTAGATTTTCAAGTTAAATTTATCCCATTTTAACTCACTATAAACTATCTAACAGTCCGTGCTCACCAAAGTCTCCTTCATGATTGACCATTGACGCAGTGACCACTAGACATCTTTGTCCCATAATTGTAGCAATTATATGATTTAGGTCTGTAAAATTAAAGTAATAACATTTATTATGATGAAATATTATGAAAAATACATATTGTACATAAGTTGTATTTGTTGTTTGTTTTATCGAGTTAAAATAATATACTTATGAAAATATATAAAATATATAAAAAAATATAAAATATATACTTTGAATTTAAATGGAATGTAGTGCAGCTTAAAAGTCACATTTCAAAGCATACATGTAGCCTGTGCATGGTACAAATACTTTATTTCTTAGAAATGCAGTATTTGTTATGTGTTTGATGGTCTGTAACATGCTGATGTCCTTCTGTTGCCCAAGTTATTCTTTTTTCTCTATTACCGTTGTCCTTTTCTTACCTCTTCTAGTTTCTGGACAAGTCTCACGACATGTTGCTGAAGCACCAGGCCAGCATCAACGAACTGAAGCGAGCCCTTAAGGAACCCAACAGCAAGCTAATGAACCGAGAGAAGCGACTGTCTGCAACCTCGCCGACCGGCACGCCAGAGAAGAAAGCTGTAAGTCCGGGCTTCTATGGAAGACAGATAAAGATAAAGATGCTGTCGTATCGTGTCAGGATTACAATGTTCACGCTCACACCACACCTTTAAACTAGCCCTGGTTCTGTCTCTGTCCCTGATAAAATACCTTAAAAAAAGACTTACATTGGTGGTCTACTTGAATAAACTGCCCACGATGATAACGAGACACTAAACTGCAGTATGAAAACTACAATGGCTGACTGATGAGCAGTTGGTTCTTGTACAAGAGATTACAAAGTATTAAGTCACTGGAAGGACACATGCAGCTGGACTTATTTTTTCAAACAAACACATTACTAACATTTAATTTAGACATCAAGAAACTATTTCAATTAGCACCAAAATATGCCCCCTTTGGTATACGCTAGATATACGCTAGATAACACCACCAACAAATCATATTCCACTGGAGACGTCAGCGATTGCCGCCGTGACACAGTTACTGTTGGATTTAGCTGCCATTATAATCAATGAGAGATGTCCTACCTGGTGCATCTCACTGTATAGGTGGCAGTCTATTTCTGGGGCCACATCACAACAGAACAGATCATGAATTAGTCATGGTATCAGCATGTAACGTATACATACAGCTACATTAATTAATTATTGACCTAACATAAAAGGCCTATAAAAGGTACGTTCAGTTCATATGAGTAAATACATGTATATATTTAGACACTTTAGTCTGGTCATTTGAATAGTAGCTGCCAAGCCAAAAAAGTGTGGACCCCTGCAGTAGACTTTACCTTGAACCCTGACCTAAGGGACAGTCAGCCCTATTATTCAAAAAGAAAATGTCTTTCTGGGAGGTAAGAATCAACTTTAAGTTTTTAGTTTGGCATGTTAACACTCGTATTACTATATATTTACATACATTTTATGGTTGGGCTTATATCAGGGTTTTTCAGGCATTTCCTTGGAGCCTTTGTTGTTTCCACCTCAGTGAATAGTGAGGTTAAATGATAACTGTGCAGCGAGATTAAGGGAAAGATGAAAAAGAACCTCAAGAGGTAAAAGTCTGCACTGGAGAGAAGAGTAATTAAGGGAGGTGGATGAGTTTAAATACCTGGGCATGAAATATTCAGAAGACAAGGCAGTGCTGGAAGAGAGGTAAAAAGATGGAGAGAAAGATACCAGCTGGAACTGCAGTAATGAATGGTTTGGACACAGTGGTGTTGTTTAAAAGACAGGAGACTGATCAAGTGGGGGAAGAGACTCAGATGTTGAATTTTTAATTAGTAGTGGCCAGGATGGAGAGCACTATAGATGATACGTTCAGTGGACAGCTATGGCAGGGCATTGTGCAGATAAAGGTGAGGTATAATAATTTAGACAAGTGCTGAGGAGAGACAGTGGATACTGTGTGCTGGGTTTTGGAGATTGGTGTAACCGAGAGAAAGACAGAATTGAGGGAGAACAAAGGTAGATGATCCAAGAAAAAGAAGCCAGACGGGGAGCAGCAAATTATGAAGTCGTGCACTCTATTTTAAAATATGTGCATAATAACCTCTTCTGTCTCTGTCAAAAGTGTAATTCAGTCAATTTTTCAGCAGTATTTAAAGTACTGCTTAAGTACTTCATAATTACTCACAGTAGCAAAAACGATAAAACATCTTAATGTGATTAGATCAAAGCATTTTTATGCACATCAAAAACTCTTCAGACTTGTTCAGTTAACATTGTTTTTAATGCTGCACATTTGAATTTGACGATTTAATATATGTGCATGAACTCAACACTGCTGACAACATATGTTTGAGATTATATCCCTGTCAAACAGAGAGGAAACAAAGTGTAGCATGGTTTCATAAACATTTACTTCTGTTTGAGTGACTTAGGCTTTGGTGGAGAAATTCTCTGGTATTTTACTGAAAATTCAACCATTTCATGGACTAACAGAGATTTGCATTACAAATCCTGCTGCTTTTGGTGGGTATCGCAAGGACCACATTGATTGTAGAGTTGATTAAGATTTGATCCAAATTTCTTTTTCTTCCCTTTTTGCATGAAGTCTTTCATCTAACTACTGTGTTCCCTCACTTGTCGTGGGGCTGCTAACAGCTCTTCTTTTCCTCTCTTTTACACACTCTGCCCTCATGTTCCAGTCGCTGGGCCGAGCAGCTGGAAAGGACCCTTTAAACAGTCTGTCTGTTGAGGGTTACGTCCAGAAGACTGTGGTCACATCACCTGAGGTTGCCAGTCTTACTTTTTCTAAGCCATTATTGTTTCTTTTTTAAGAAAAAGTGGTGTGGTAAAACTGCATATTTAAGTAACAAACCTTTTACAGGGGATTTCAAGGTCTTGTACAATACTATTGAGACGTGTTCATAGGCAGTTCCTTTGAATTTGGTTTCTTTTTCCTGCCTAACCTTACTCTATTTCTAGGCTTAGTGGCAAATTCAGAAATATCAAAGTATTTTGTCCTGAGACGTTGAGATTGTCAATTCCTGTGAGGGGAACTCATACTTATCTGTGTATTTTCTACAAAGAAATACACATATGTGCAAGTTCTGTCACAATGTAAATGCATGGTTGTCAAAAATCACGCGTGTCTAACTGTGTCTAATCTATGCCAACATGTAGGGCTCTGAGGAGTGGGTATTGATTGAAAAACAAGACACTTATCAACCAGACCTTGAGTGGAAAGCAAAGGAAAGGAACAAAACTCTCTTATCTGAGTCCTCGTGGGAGAAAAAGGAGCTGGAAAAAGAGATAGATGTCGCCATCATGGCACATAAAGAGTTACCAGGGTATGACAGAAAGGGATTGAAAAGCCATATTGACGAAAAAAAATCATTCAGCCAAGCAGGCGATTGCTCCGAATCCCTGCCATCCAGCAAAGGTCGCTTTGTGATTCAATTATCTGAGAGTACAGATTTGTTGCAGGACAAATCTAAAGGTAAACCGTGCCTTCCTTCAGAACCTGAGGCAAAAAGCAACCCATCCTCAGGCGCCCACCAGATAAAGGAGTGCACATCATCCAAACAGAGAAAAAAAAGAAGACCGCTCAGCTTAAATGTGGGTACGTCTGCAGAGCTTCTGTACAGAAAAGGAGGGAGCGATTCAAGTGAAGATGAATGCTCAGACTCTGACGATAGTCCAGAAAAAATGTCACAAACAAGAAATCACTACGAGTCCGCCGCTGCGTTTCAGAGGGATGATCCAGAGCCGGTAAAGAGTCAGTTGGTCAAGGGCTTCAAAGACAAGCTGGAAGATATCTGTTCAGCTGAAGCCCAGCACGTGGCCACTCAACAGGCAGAGGAGACAAAGAGAAAAAGAAGTCAGACTGAAAACAAAGATATTGATTTAGGGTCAGTGAACGGACTTGGAAAGATAGACCACAATATTTCATTTAGTGGTGTCCAAGGAGAACGTGTGATTAAAATGCAAGGCAAGGCTCTTATTGACAATAAGGAGCTAGCAGAGGTAAAATTGCGACAGGTCAGGACACACGAGAGAAAGATCAGCAGCTCTGGGGCAGAGGATATTGAAAATCTGTTGGGAGAGAAAGGTCAAAGGACATCTCTCCACAGACTGTCCAGCAGCAGCTATCAGTCAGAAATCACCCGGATTGTTCCTCTGAAGCCAGAGAGGTCAAAGAGCATAGCGTGTAAGGATGAAAGGGACAGAAAAGGACAGGAAGAAGCCTCTCGGCTCTTCAGAAGGGAATATCGCTGGTCTGTTGGCTCCCCGGAAGGATCCTCAGACCTCACCTGGAGTGAAGTCTCCACCTTCCAGTCAGCGTTTGTGACAAATGTGGAGAACAGTGCCAAGACTGACAGTATCCATCTGTCAGGCAAAGGCCCATCAGAGAGTCAGTCATTCACTTCAAAGATTTCTCCACTTCCAAAAATGCCTCCTCCAGCACCACCCGTGAAAACACAGAAGGCCAGGGAGTCTGGGCTAATACTGCGGAACAGTTGGAACGCTGGCAGGGACTCCAGTCTTGATGCAGCCAAGAAGAGACACTCGGTAACTCTGCTTGGCATCTGCTAATCAGTCATTGGACGTATAGCATCGCATGAGCTTCAGACAGACTTGCACACCATTTTTCTTTTAGTGTTTTTTTGTTTGTTTGTTTGTTTGTTTGTTTGTTGGTGTTTGTTGTGGTGTTGAAGTGACGCTTTCCATGTTGCCAACTGGAGGTTTTCTTTAACGGGAGCCTCTTTAATTGGGGCCTTCAATTGCAATTCACTCATATCTTGGAATGGTGATGAACATATTTATTTCATGTTTAAGTTGTTATTTTCCCTCTTCCAATTTCTATCCACATTTTTTTCTTCAGCCCACTTTTACGCTGTTGAAGCTTACATTTCATTGTCCTGCCATTGCAAATCTCCACTACATTTACAAACTGGGATTGTAAAAGAAATAATTTATTATATAACATTCCGTAAATCAATTGCCCAAGGAAAGCGAGAGTGAATGCTGCTGGCATTCTTTATAGACAGCTATTAGCTCCCAAAATGAGACTTAAATCGAGTGTGGAATTCACAACATGCAAATGATAAAGAGCTTTGTGATCTCTATAAAACTGATTTACTAGCATTGTCAGAGTTCAGCCATCATTTGATTCTATGGAAGTGTACATTGTAAATTAGACCCTTTATCATCCTCATTTTAAACTGGATTGTACTACCTAACCCAAACACTATAGTGCAGTCAGGTGTGCACAATTAAAAATTCTATTAATTAAAACAATGACAGTGTTTTTGGTCCTTCTGATACGCCCACTGCATCATCAGTGCAAAGAGTTTGTTTTTACTGCTTCTTTGTGAAGTGTATCAATTTTTCTAGAAGTCAAAAGTTAAAAAAGCGACTGGATTGGCCTATTTGGATTGGTATCTTCAGATTGTGACATAACTCTGTATCCTTCACATAAAAGTGGTACTTATCCATATGTGCTGAGCCTCTTCATACATGTACAAGAGTCTGCATGAACTGTCGCCGTCATTACTGTCGTAGACATGGCTCCTCAGACCATATCAAACCATTGTGGACTTGCAGATGTGGAAAGTGTGTCGCATCAGAAGCTCCATTTGTGTTGCCTGACGGTAAACCATGCGTTGTCGCGACATTTACTTGGTTGAGTATGTGGAACTGCCGCTTTACTCACACTTATCACTTTTGGTGTGTACGTCCCATAATGTTATTGATTACAGAGTTAAGCAAAGGACAATGGTTTTTAGACCTCCATTTTGGATTTGTTGTTGTGTTTGTTTCGTATGTGATGCGGCCAAAACTCAGGCTAGGTGCACCTGTAGTTTGAATTTAGAGGGGAAGATAAAATACGCAACATTCCTAAAAGTTGATGCGAATACTGCCACCTAATTGGGTCAAGCTTTGCTGCAGGTATCTCTGTCTGTGTGCTGTTCTGTTTGCACACTCTGTACCTTTGCTTCTTCTAACCTTCAGACGCACATGTCTTTTTCCTCTGCTTCCCTCTGCAGGAGCCTGTCACCACCCCCGCCATCTATGAAGAGCAATTTGCTGACTTAAAGGTTATTTATTGTGTCTGTATTCTATTGAAACCATTATTCCACAACCTCATTTTCTCTGCAGGAGTCACAGGCTAAATTGCATGTCTCTATAATCACTGTCCCATTTTCCTGATAAAGTGTATGAAGAAATAGCTGCAAGTAATGAAGAATTAGATGCCACACTTAGTAGTTAGAGGACAACTGGACTGTTTTGGTTTCTTGAAGACGTTTCACCTCTTCATCCAGGAAATGTTTTCTTCAGTGCTAACCGACTGCTAGTAAATTCTGGTATTTAGCCTTAAAGGGTGCTTTCAGACAGTACTGGTTGTGGCTCCGGTTCCTTTCTGGAGTCTGTGAACCTTGGTGCCTTCTGGCAAGGTTGAACCAATGAGGGTGTAGGTCATACATTGTCATTATCCATGTCCTGATTCCTCCGTCACATCTTTGCATTGCGTATTGAAAAGCATTAGCGATGTAAAAAAAACAACTTTCCATTTGGATCATCTATTGGGAACATAAGGAACGTACATTGTTCCATGTCATCCTGATTCTCCATTTATTCATCCACCTACATTTGAAGTGTGTTTGTGGCCCTGTGTCTGTACCCAGAAGGAGTGTAGAGACAGGGGGCCTCATTCAAGCACAGCCACAGAGGACGAGCAGGAGCGGGACACTGTGGCCTGCATGAGAGAATCCCACCTGGGCATCGAAAGAAAATGCTCCAGCATGACGGTCAGCTCCACGTCCAGCCTGGAGGCCGAGGTGGACTTCACTATCATCACTGATCTCCACTCCGGTGTGGAGGATTTCTCTAAGGGCATGCCAGAGCTCGGGGACAGGGAGCAACAGCCAGAAGTTGGACGAGAGGACTTTGAGGAGACCTCCAGGTTTTACTCTGCCCGTCTCATGGGCTCCAGAGACAAGTCTCCTATAGAGGAAAAGCTTCCTGAGGTGGGAACCTGTGAGGTAGATGAATGTGTTTGCACGTCGTCAACATCGTCAGCACCACAGCATTTCCCATGCTTGGTTGGACTTTTTGACACAAGTCTTTATTTTTCCTTTTATTTTGTATAAACATGTTTTGTTGCCAAGTGATTTCAGTGGGTTTTTTTTTATCATGTTGATTTCTCTTCACTTGTTCCTTTAATTTATGCATACATTGTAATAACTCATTCAGATTACATTTGCCAGGTGCATCATTGCGTGAATTCCCCTACCACTGCAGCATCATTTGCATGTTTTTTTGTTATCAACCTGAACCATCCAATAAAAATGCATTTCATCTTTTCTTTTACTGTGTTTTTTTACTCTGTATTAACAGTATTTGAAAATGTTCAAGGTTGCTACCCTATGCTTTAATTTGACTCTTTTTTTTTCTTTTCCTTATGTGTTACACACAGCCTCCGGTGGCAAAGAAAGAACCTAATGCTGTTTCTGTTGCCCGTATGCTGAAGAGGGGCGACTCCAAGAATGAAAGGGACGTACCTGGGAATGAAACCAATGTCCAGAGTCACGTTGTCAGAGTCTCACCTCAGGTACATATTATGTCATATTATACATATACATATTATTTTATGTCATAATTGGACCAAACTGGCATTTACAGTTGATCAATTTCAACTAAGTACCTAACACAGGCTTCTGTTTACAGCCACTGACATACAGTATCCATCTCCCAACATCACCCTGATCAAAGAGATCTCTCATATAAGATCTCTGCTTCCTCAATGATAATGTTTTTGGCCAATTGGACTGTTTCTCTGTATAAATTTGCATAATCATTTTTCTATTTTCTAAGTAGATACTGTCAGATTTTTGATGTTTTGGAAATGCCAGTTCATTTTTTATCATTTACCGGTAATTCTTAAAAATATCATATTCTAAGTTGATTTATAACGCTGTTTCACGGACTGAAAGGTAAAATGAAGAGATTACCTAAAATAGTCATAATAGAAAAACAGAAGTAAATGATTGCTGTAATGAAAGGACTGAAAATAACAAAAAATGATCAAACAAGAATCAGCCTCTTATATACCAGATAAAGTACGTCAGGGAACGGGACTGTCACAGGAAATCTACTAAGATGCACACGCTGCTGATTGTTTTTCTGGGCAATAGTTGAGTCACATCCTTCACTGATAAAATGTCAACACATCAGGGGCATTTGTGGCAGTTTTATAAATTGCAGCTGAATGGAATATGACGTGTGTTTGCACTGCACGTCACTACAAATTTAGGTAAGACCTGGGCAGATTATTCCTGTCACTTTGCTAAGTTGTCAGGTTGCAGATTTTTGGGGGAAACTTGTTAGGAAAAGGAAACTGAGGACAACAAGTTCCACTATCACTCAACGTG